GTTGGATACTGTGAGGGTGATGGCCATGTTGATGCCGGATTTCGGGTCGGATACTACAACATTCGGGTTCGTCATGTTTAAAAATTAATGTTGGGAAATACTTGGGAGAAGCAGAAATTACGCAAAATAGAGAAATAAGAGAGGGGAGTTGAGTGAGAGAATTGAGAGGGGGAAGTGGTGGGATTTATAGAGTTGGAGACGGGGAAGTGGTTGTCTCCACGTGGCCAACATTCCTCATCCAAGTCAAACCAACCTGCTTTCCGCCACGTGGCCTATTTCTAATTATTAAAAAATTTTCTATTATATTATAATTATGCTACTCCCTACAATAATTTGCTCCCCTTAGCTTTCCCTGCCTCACGCACTTGCACACCACAATGTATAACTTTTGTTTCTTACATTGTTCTTCATTTCATATTCAATAGTAGGAACGGAAAAAACTGTTCAATCCATTTATTATTCTAGGTTGCTTATTTAACWTAATTTATCAAAAACCACTAGTTAAAATTGGATAAATTATATTTCACAAAAGAGAATATGACACTGCAAACTACTATTTCATAATAAGCATTTATAAAATGTGAATCGTGATGAGGGTTTTAGTTTTTGGTAGAATAATAAAGTAAAGAAAAAGAAACCGACATTGATAGTTTGGAGAGATTGAAAGTAGTGAAAGAGAGAACCCACTGGTTTGTTAAGGAAGGGCTGTTTTGCCATAAATAGTTGCAGTTGATGTTGTGGGCGGTTGGTAAGGTAGCTAAAATTAGAGATAACGAAGGACGTTTTCTTTTAATGTAGAGGAAAGGACAGAAACGCCCCTTGTAAAATCCACCAAAACAAGCGGCTTCAGTACCCTGCAAAACTGTTGGAATATATATATATTATATATCTAAATTTAACAACAAAGCAGTTACCTTATTTCTCCTCATTAGACGTAGCTAGAGCTATATGCATTGCATCCCCCCAAATAATTAATACATGRCCATTATTATTATTGTTTTTTACCAATCTACTGTAATTTATTAAATATCACCTCAATTATTGACCTTGTCCTCACCCGTTGCATAAAATCTACTCCTTTTCGGACTGTCATTAATTATTTGACAAAAATAAAAAGTAGGTTGAGAAAATATTTTCTGGACCTTTGTATTCTCGTCTGAAGTAATGTTTTAGTCGCAAAATTTTAATTTACAAGGATTTAGTGCTATATTTTTAAATTTGTAATAATTTAGTTATTAAACTTTAATAGGTAACAATATGAGTTTTTATGATTTAAAATTTGAACAATTTCATCTCTACGGTGAAAACTATCCTCAAAATTAAGAATAGATTTTTGTTATTTAAAGATTTAATTAGGTTTGGTAAGTTATAAACACATTTTGATTTTTCATTAGTTTATCGAAACCTTCTTAAATATTAAAACTTTCATGAGTTATAAACAGATTTGGAGTAGTAGAACACAAAAGGGTAGATATGTGAGCTGAAGGAATTAGCTGAGTGAATGTGGCTTCAAATTAAAGGAAAATTCGTCTTTGGTCTATCTACTTTTCAATTCAATTCCCCCTTGTATTACACACACAGTAGAGTAGAGTAGAGTAGAGTAGAGGCACCAAAATCATCCATTTTTCTTTTCCTTTTCCTCTTCTGTCCCACCCCACACACCGCATATTCCAAATACTCCCAACACTCGAAATTAGAATATTACTCTTTTCTTATTTTATTTATCCTTTTTTTTATTTATTTATCTTGTCTGACTTCTCCATTCAAATACAACAACCTCTGACCATTTTTCTCTCTCTCTCTCTCTCTCTCTCTCTCTCTCTCTCTCTTCTATTAAAATTTATTCAATAATTTACAGTAGTATGGCTTTACTATCCAAATATTATAAAAAATAAAATGGAAAACTTTTGCTAATACCATATATAACTGACATGTGTTTGGAAAATTTGTTTATTCGAGACACAGACAACATCATTTGTCACAAAAACCAGTATAAAAAATTGCTTTGAAATTATATATGCTGAATGGACAGGTAAATAGCATGCGCAAAGTATATACATATTTTTGTCCATCAAACATAATATTAGCATATAAAAGCSCATTAATATTGTTCATCAAACATTGAAAAAGCTTAAACGAACATAGTTCGGTGGTAATTRTCATATACCTCAAATTAAGAGATTGTGAGTTCGAATCCCCTTCCCAACATGTTGTACTAAAAAAAGGAAAAACATTGACAAAAACTAGCTACGAAAATTCTTAATATATATATATATATATATATATATATATACACACACACTGTTTGCAAAATGCTATTATTTTAGAATGAAATAAAATAATGGTAGATAAACCAACACATAAAACCCAAATTTAACCATTAACAAAAGTAATGGTAAGAAAAGTTGAAAACGAGAATAAAAATGGTGAAATGCCTAGGCTTTTCTTTCTTTCTTTCTCTCATGTTTTGTTTATTTATTATTATAAGCTTGATGAGACAATGATCGGCAAGAAAGAGAAAAGAAAGTTTGTTTGATAATTGTTGTGAAAAATAGTCTTTTTTTTTTCAATGACTTTTAAATATAAATATATTATTTATATTATTGAAATCACACCAAGTTCAAGAGTTTGAAAAGAATAAAACCCTCAATTAGTCTAAAAATATGTAGGTCGTCAGTGACAACAAAACACTGTTAAAAGAAAAGTGTTTTAAAATGCTTTAAATTGCCCTCCAAGTCTACATTATACATAAATATTCATAATTAGAGAGAAAAATGGGGAAGACATGTGAAACGTATAAATTATAATCATGTTCCAATTAAGAAAATTATGGAAAGTTAGTCCTCCTCGTCACTCCTCTGTATTGGCGCCTTCACGAAAATAAAATAAAATAAAAGATTCTAAAAAGACCATATGAACACATTAATTAGAGTCAGAATGTCTCACATGCATGACTAATTTAATGAGTTCATCACTGTAATCCAAACTCAAAGTCTTAATACGTTTGGTGGCGACATTGATTTAATAGTTATTATATTTGGTTTCCCACTGCTTTATAGGGATTAGAGATCAAATTTAACCCAAAACACCAAGACTTGGAACTTGGAACTTTGAAGTTGAAACCTTCAACTTTGACAATAGCTACAAAAACTGAACCGAAGGAAATGAAGGCAGCAATTAGTCTGTACTCAAGCTTGAACCTAGCATAAAATACAAAGAAAGATAATAAATTTAAGTAAAAAAGCCTTGTCGTGTTTGTAAAGAACGTGCAAAATTGACTAGAAAAAAATAAGATCATTGATACATAATATTTTGATTGATACAAGATTCTTTGATTATACATCAAACTAAAAGTAAAATTATAAGAGTTTTGTCCAAAACGAAAAATATCATATTATTGTGAGAATTGGAACGATATGGACTCTCAACATTTAATATCAGAATCATAATCTAAACTTAAATGTATAAGTGAAATGACAAAGAAATATGTAGTCCTCATATAATTCTAAGTGTACCAAAAACTTTAAATAGAAGCAAACAAAAAATRGACAGATAAAGGGGTATCTGAAGGGAGAACCTAACTATCAATATTATAGGTCACTTCCAACATCCCGTTATTTATTTTACAAAGTACATTTAACCCGGCCGCCTGGATCAACGCTCATGGAAGTGTGTGGCACGAGACCCGAAGCGGGGGGTGCAGCGCGCGGCAATCAAGTGTTGGCAATCCACCCAACAAGAAACATCCACAGCTTACATGCTACTGAGGATGGTAGAGGTTAGAGTTACGTGTCGTAATGGCCGAGCCTCATAGACCTGACCTACGAAGGGCACAATAGGCATGCACGCACGTGCGTCGGCTGTCGGCGAGGACTACGGTGGTCGGCGGCATTCTGGGAATACTCACGTGCACTGCAGCTGCCAGTACCCGCCAGCCTAGCTACCTTAGCTAGGTGGGGGTCTACCCTCCCATCATTCAATAATCCTTACTTCTCTTGTAATTTGATTGATATTCTCGAGGTTCCCTGTCAAAATGATAAATGAGAGAAATAATTCATTTTAAAGTCAATTTTACCTGCAATTCTTAATAATTTTTTTCTTCTGTCTTTTTTCTCTAAATTACATTATATCTTAATTCCATGATCAAATATTGAAAAGATAAGAGATTTAAATATTTATAATAAATATAAATTATTCTTCTCATTGTCCAATGATTTTGAAATTGAATCATATTGATAATCACCACCATTTACTCCAATCTTAACATCAAAATCATACATGTCATTCCTTCAATTAAACCTTACATTTTACATTTTCTGAAGGAAAATAGTATGCATTATATTGTTGTCTGGGGAATCAAATACTTGTTTTGTGATAACCATCTTTTCAAGACTTACCTAATTTACATTCAGCTCTGAACACTACGCATACAATTGTTTAGAATTTATACTTCTTGGTTAAGATTGTATAAAAAGTTGTGCTACAGCTTGTAGAATATTCCATAAGACCCTCCATAAAAATGTCCTTTTCTTTTTATTGGGTCGGTTTGTGGACCCTATTTTAGAGGTTTAGAAATTAATTATTTTCTTCATTCTGTTCCTTTAATTGGGTTGGTTAGGTTACTCTTTATTCATTTCTAATAATTAGTTGTGTTTCAATGGGAAATTCCACTAATCCATCAAAATATTTTAATTTAAATTTATCTAAAAGTGATAAAAAAAAACAACTTTTTCTTTTTTGTTCCTCTTAAAATGTTAACGACTAAACGTGTGGATTAAATTCTAAGATAGTTTTCTTCTACTTATTTTAATTTTTTTGATCAATACAGAGATTATTAATTAACAATGAGGCATCATTAACAGCAGAAAAATTTTGAGCCTCTATATGATAACAATTTATATTTTTATTTTGCAGATAAAAGCTTATTTTCTAGAACTTTTTACAATGCAATCTACATTTTGGCGATAATATTTTAATGATAATAAAATTAGCTTTTTAAAAATATTAACTTAGTCATTTAAATTAATAATTAGCCTTTTTGAACCTTTGATATGGGAGGACAAGGGACATCCTCTATCTTCACATTTGTCCATTATTCTTCACTTTAAGTTTTAAGCTTAAGCCCACATAAATTTATTTTAA